TCTCGAGAGAATTCACGTCAGGTGGATTTCTAATCAGCTCTATTAACTCTTTCTTCTTCAGTAAAGAGCATCGTTTCAATCCCATCTCTTTTGCTTTTTCCAGAAGCGCACTCCTCGAATAGTATTCAAGTTCATCCATCTTTTTTATTCAAGTAGTTGATAATGTTAAAGATTCTTTTTAAGACTTTTTTTCAATTTTTTTATATTCCTTGAAGTTCACTTTCATCAATCCACGAGTTGAATTTTTCGGGATAACCGCTCCATTTCACGAGAGCTTTCCCTTTACTTTTTCGAATGACCTTCTCAATTCTGAAAAGGTCTGAAAGGCTTTGTTTTGCTTTAACCATCTCCTGTTCATAAAAAGTGCCCTTGATCTCCTCACCGAGAAGATCTTTCAACTTATAAGTGATCGGGTTGGAATACTGTATCTCATCAACCACAAAGAGCTCCTCTGTCCAATTCGGTGTGTACCCCTTATCAAACAGTTTTCTCTTGTATTTTGAGATGCGAACGTGATCACCTACCGAAAACTTAGGTTTCTCCCGCAATTCGCTCAACTCTTCACCGTACAGTTTCAAATAGACAACATTTTCATTCTTCTTCTTGGAAGCCTCTGCCGGTGTCATACCAATACTTCTGTGTTTTGTATTGTTGTACTTCTCTACAATCTTCGGGAGAATGTCGAGATACACCGTGTTGTTTTGGATGGTAAACTGTTCCACATCTTTGTTTTGATGGTTCTATTCCATCTCTCACACACAGAAGATTTTTCTTCATTCTCTGTCGAGTACATCTCAACACCGTTAGCTTTCATCAAATCTTTGACATGACTATTGTAATACTCTGAACCCTTGTCAACCCAAAGTCTCAAAGGTCTTCTCCCTTCAGCAAAAATGATGGCGAACCCCTCCGCCACACTCTCTCCCTTTTTGTTCTTCAACGGAACAATCCAGCCATATCTGCTGAAAATGTCCAATACCATCAGCATATAACGATAACCTTTGTTCCATTTCGCAAAAAATACAAATTATATATCAAAACATCAGTAGCCTTAGGTTATTGAGGAAGGGTTTATCTTCCCATTCCCAGTCTTTCTAGCCTGCATAGCTTGGCATTAGGTAATAAATGGACTTGAACTGTCCTCTTCGAAACGCCTCAACCAAATACTGGGACCACCATGTTGGAAATGTGTGAAAATAACACACCGGGGGTCGTAGGCCGCACAGCACCTGATCAAGACTCAAACTCGAGAGTGTTTGGGCAAATAATTTCACTGCCATGGGATAGAAAAGGATCCAGTTGATTTTCTTTCTGTAAAACAAAAAAAAGTAATTCATCGTTCAATTGATTTATTGGCAATGGTGTTGAAATCATGACGAGCTTTGCCCACCAAAAAAAATTTATGCAAATTAGGCTAAGCCGGATCTGAGTTCCGCCTGACAATTATTAACTGAAAGAAAAGGTCTCAGTTCGCGCCCACAGCACGTTCAAGGTGTTGCGGATGAAGTTTCTGTAATAACTTTTTGGCACTTTTCGGCGTCAAAATTGCATAGTTTGGGTAACCCAAAACCCTTAAGCTGACCTTTCTTGTCATAACGCAAATATTTTCCAGAGAGGGACACGCGGTAATGTCGATGTCACTGTGTGCAGGCATTTTTCCAGGTAAAACCCTCGCGTGGAATCAACTCATGTTTACTTTAACGCTCCTTTTATGCGCACAATGTAAACCAAAGCAATTTTATACTTAAACGTAAAGATCAGAATATTCTCTTCTAAGGATGATAAAAGATCGACGCTAAACTAAATTTTACGTTGAAGAAAATGCAAAACAGCATAACATGCAAAAGAGGAAATTTCGAAAAATACGAAGTTACGGAAACCATGAAAATCTTCGATTTTTAAGAAAGGAAATTTTTATATTCTAAGCCAAGTAAGCTTTTCCAGTGTTTCATTCTTTAAGGCTTTGTGTACAGCGGGGCCTTTGTTGTATAAACCGTATAACTTAGTGACAAGTCGAAAGGGCTCGCTCTTGGTTATGATACCAAAGAGTAGATGGGACACCACGGTGATCTTCCAGGTGTTTGATCATCGTCGCCGCTCGTGGCGTACTTCGCTACTTAGGTGAGCGAGATCGACGTTCTTCCTCTCTTTAAATTCTGACAGCTGTGTGAAAGACCTGATCCTTACAATGAAAAACGGTCGATTGTGCTTTTTCAGTGGCGGCTTTAACGCTCGTCCATATTCAGCGCTTATCCTAAACATGCATGGCATCTCTAGCTATCTACAAGACACGCTGCGATGTATTATTCGTCCATGTTCAACACAACAACTGCGCTAGTGAGATAGAGAATCGAAAGATCACATTGTTGCGCTCGAGGCAGAGTGCGCTAAGTTTGCCAAGTTCTACAATGGACAACAGATCGTACGGCCTCCCGCAAGAATAAGGACAAGGTCTATCAGTTACAAGCAATGGATAAGTGGAATTGTAAAAAGTTTTAATTCGTCCGTGCATCGAAAGGCCGATGGTATGTAATTTTGCTCTTTTCCGTTCTTCACACACTCGAATAGCTGTTAAAATTAAATTTAATTGCGGGTTGTGCAGTCAAAATGTAACGTCGCCCAACATGGTTTTAGTTAAACCAGTGTCTTCTGAGGCGCTTCCACCAAAATAATTTAGAAGGGAACAACAGCGCTAACCGATTTAATATCTTCTCAAGAACATGTCAAAGTCTATTAAAACGCAGAAATTAAAAATAGTAAGAATTGGTGGTTCATGTTAAAAATCATTAAAGAACAGTTCTCAGTTTGGCTCGATAGTGCTGTCACTTTGCACTAGTTGTTCATAGTGACTTACTCATTACTTTCAGTATTTGTTCGAGCTTTTCTTCGACGAAATAGGGGACATACAAGAAATCGCAATTCACCTCTAAAACAAAAATAATAAGCTCTTCTCCCAATTGGACACCAGATATGACTGCGTAGTAATAATTGCGTTGTACGCGATNNNTTGGACAAAGTCCGTGTTAGTCTGGCCTCTACCTTGCAGAAAATACAGCCCACCAACTGAAGCTGAATTCTTTAAAGGCATTGTATTGCAATTGGTCATTGAGGCACTCAAGCCACCTCACCACGACAAGGTACGAACATTGAGGTGGAAAAAAGGGTCTGTAAAATTGACTCCATGCTGATTCGAGATGAGAAATCTGTGTTCGAAGCTTCTTCAGTTCCACTCCAAGGGAATTTACTCTAGCTGATCTTTCGGTAAGTTAGGAAGCGAGCTCTTCGGAGTCGTGACTGAGTTTGGCGCCAAAAGATAAATTTTTCGCGCCTTCGGGCTCAAAGTCTAGCGTGGCGGAGTTCACCAGATTTACGATAGTCATAAATCCCGCAGATTTAATAAGTTCGTCGGGGATTGTTTATTACGAAGAAGATAGACCAGCTATTAGACAGAACGTGAACACAACGTGAACGAGGTCGGGAATCCTGGCTAACCCCACTACTTCGAACGATGAGTTGGCCGGCTGAAGTTCCCGTGTCGCCACACTTTGGATTTCGTCGGGAAATATCTTAAATACATCGCATATGAAATATTTACGCAAAGGAACGTCACATACCTCTTTCAAAAGTAGATACCAATGCTTGCAAGGGTCAAGTGTGGCACTTGTAATCCTGCAAAGACTCTGCGTGGTTAAGTTAGCCGGTGGAAAGCCGCACGTCGAAAATCCGACTGCCTCTATGACTTCATTTCGAATGGTTTCGAAATCGAAAACATGATGCTTTTCGACATTTCGACATGAAAAATCTCGTCGAGGTTTAATATTATAATATTGGTAAGAATTTAACCAGGATACGAGGCCAAGTCGTGCGACCGCCACAGGTTTTGTACCAAAACAATAACATCGTGTACTACGATCGCAAAGCGTGAACACTGATCGATCCACCAAGTGACGCAATACTGGAAATTCGATACGGTTGTTATTCAGGTCGTACGGCACATGAAAATTGCGATATCTTTTGTTACTGTTTTATGGCAAACCAAGCGAAAGAATCATACCTAAATAATCGAAAGAGAGGCTTTTTCGAATACGGTGCCTCGCATGTATTGCCTCTTCTGTGAAAAGGAAGGATCTTTGAAAGACTACGTGATCAGAAATATCGCTATAAGGAAACAGGCAGAAACACAGAAAACGCAGTATTTTATGACCATTACGCGCACAGCAAACTTCATTTCATTTCATGATTTTGATTTTCATTGCCAACAGATGACCCTGCGTTGACTCGCACGCAATCGCGTATCTCTCGTGGATTCGAGGGCGCTAATCTGTGTAGTTACATTGTGGTGTAATTAATGTGATGACATCCACCCAACACCTTCTTCCCCAAACCTCGGCATCAGTTTACGATTTAAGCAAAGCTCGTCATGGAGAGCTGATCAATATGTTGAGTCGCACTAAACCCGTCGAAGCCACAAATCAATAAATTTGAATATATGCGGTTTCATGAAAGGTATGAAAGCGATCCTCGCAGTAATAAACCGTACTTATGTAGTAGTAGTGGAGTGGAAATAGGGCCCAAAAAAAACAACAAAAAACAAAAAACAAAAGAACAAAACAAAAACACGGAGATATGTTTCCCTCTGATTTTTATCGTCGTCTTAAAACTTTTGATTACTTCTCCTCCCCAGCTTAATACACACTAACCACTATTCCTTTAGAATTGCGATTTATTACAAGTACACAAAGAAGAAACCGAATATGCTCAAAATAGTCTGATCTCTGCCAATGCAATTCACGCACGAAAAGCAGGCACAGAATGTGACAGAGACCTTAGAAAAAAAAAAGAAAGAAAAAGAAGAAATTAAGAAAGAAAAGAGGCATCGAGATTTGACTAATGTATTCCATCAGTAGACATCATTATTGTTGTCTATGATGTTTTCTTTACTCTGCGTCTAAGGTAGCTTTCACCCTTGCAAAGATCTGCAGGAAGCGTTATTTCTCGGACAAGTTCGCGGTAAAACATCTGCCGTGAGTGTTTTCGAAAGTTCGTTCGAAATGTTATGAATCTTTTATCATAGAATTTGCTTACGATGGCATAAATGCTGGACACGCGGGTGCGCATAAACCGACTAATGGTATGTGGTTGCCTAGTCAAGGATCATTTCCGATGAGGCTTGGGATAATACTTTGTCACAAACCGGCTCTTGTAAATGAGAGGTGAGGAAACTTATTTCATCATTCGAGTCTTAAATTACTCCTTCTATAGCTATTTTTCCTAGTTCTGTCATTATCCAACTTTAGGTGGAGTTTCATTCACTTATGATCATGTTGAACGTTTAAAGCTTGTTTTTTCTCATTTGATGATCGCTTGCTACCAGTGACATTTTGAGGTTGAATTAGCCTCAAACGACCACTATAGAGCACCTAGATGAGAACAAAGTAACATTTTCAGTTGTCACTCTATTTCAACTGAACGAATGAACTTATTCTTAATTTATAAATGTGCTTATATATGCAGCAGAGATTTTCAGGCGAATAACGATCTGTTGTCGATGGATGAGCAAACAGGAAAAAGGTTCGCTCTATTCTTGATAGAACTTTCATCGACTGAGTAGTTCATGAGGAACTTTCGAAGTTCATTTGAAACAAAGATGGACAAAGAATTTGAGGGGCATTTAATTTTGATCGTGAACACAGGTTTAAATTTCAATATTCACCTTCCCAACAAAGTTGTTTGTTTAGAGAATATTACATAAGAAACGTTTAAATTTGTCTCTCGCAAGAGAACTCCTTCATTTAAAACAATTAAACTCGATTCTGTTATGCGAGGGAGCTCGTACCAGTACTGAGTCTACTGATTCTTTTTATATACGATCTTCGAATAGTTATGCAGCATGAAAAGGTATCGAAGGTTCTCAAATCAGTCAGCTATGGATGGCTTCATGGCGATCTAGCTGACTTTCGCAACTGATATTTGATAAAAGCAGAGCGTTTCCTTTCACATTCTTATTGTGGTCTTCAAAATAAGTCTGTCCTGCTCAGAGTGTGGCGACCAAATTTTGGTAAACAGCTTTTATTTGATCTGTACCAGCAGCAGCATCATGTTAGAGCAGGAAATTGTAATTAGTTGTAAGGAGGTCAAGCGAACGAAACTGAAAGCAAAATTTTCCATTTGTCAATCTTGACGCAATATTTACATATCGCAATAAAGACTTGCTTCTCGAGCAAAAGTTTCCTTTTACTCCTTTTTTATCGTTGTTGTATTCATAATTTACCTTTAATATGGTACTTTGAGTACTCAACAAATATCGTATGGAAGCACTGTGGCNTCGGGCATTATTAGGATCCTCATTCTGGCACATTTAGCAGACCTATAGATTGGAAACAAGACCACATACAAGCCACAAAGATACTTTTTAAACTTGAATGGGAGAAAAGTACACTTACTTTTGGATGTTGAGGCACAAGTGGTAGAGGTACAGGTCAATGTAGAACAGTTTGAGACCCTGGTGGTTTCTTGATTTGATTTCTGGCGTGGGAAAGGAAAAAAAATCTGGCTTTAGAATACTGTTCTTACAATTCATGCATTTCATGTCATGCAAGTGTCTTTTTTAAAAAAAGTTTTATCATGGGAATTTTTTAAACAAAACCTGTCTACCTTTTCTTTCAAAACAACACGAAGTTTTGTCTTGTCTTTTGCAGATAATAAGTCTACCTCCTCTATGTCAAGGTATTCGCCCCCACTCCTCATCAAAGCTTTGTTTCTTTGCTATCAATATCAAATTCCTTTTTGACAACCGATGGAAATGTGTCACCGAGGACGAGGACTTTTCGTCGTTCACCATATTGAATATGAACCTAAAAACAAAGTAAAAACCTTTCTTTCACTCATCGTCAAAACTTGCTAGCAACAACGCAGAGAAATCGTTAGCTGCCGGAGACTTTTGAGTGTGATCGTGGATGACTTATTTCCAGGTTCTCTCGGTCTTACAAGATGGTGAACATGTCAAAGTCTCGACCCTGGGGCAGCGACTACGTGTCAAAATCCCTACTCAGGGGAAGGCTCTCTGAATCAAATTCCCGCGGGTAGCCGCTCTCCCGCCCACCCTGGGGCTTAACACTGATAGATGCATAAACCATGCGCTCTAGGGTTCATTCTACGCATGCGCCTACACTTCACCCATGCGCTGTAGTGGAGCTTTGTTTTGTGACTGAACGCGAGAAAAAAAAAATTAAGCCAAATTTATACCTCGGGCGTTTCCTTCTGAAAGCCCGAGTAATGACTTTCCGCAGGCAATATAGTCTTCTAGAATACCAAAAACCATTAGTGTCAAAAATATCTAGTTTGAATGACAGGATCCGGTTATGAGAAACTGCTACTTTCCCAGTGAAATCATTGTCTGCTTTAAGTCCTGCGTTTGGGTATTTTATCATTAGACATTAAATGTTTTCCTCACTCTGCGTCTAACTAGTTTACATCCTTACTAAAATTTGCAAGAGACATTATATCATGGACGAATCATCAGGAAAACACTTTCGAAATCTTGTGAAATTTTCACCATAGAAATTACTTATGATAGCATGCATGACTTGTAGCTGTGACATGAACTGACTCACGGTACAATGTTTCGTAGTATAGGATCATTTCCAAGGTTGCGATGAAACTTTGGTGCACTGTGGCTCTGCATCTGGTAAATAAAATTTAAGAAAAACTAAAATCATTATTGGAGCCTTAGATTAAACCTTGTACGGCTATTTTTTGTTTTAGTTCTGTCGTTGTCCAACTTCAGCTGGAGTTCCATACGCTGATGATCGTATTGTACATTTAGAGCTTGTTTATCATGTTGTCATCACTTTCAGTAGCCTCAAACGACCACTGTAGAACACGTAGAAGAGGACAAAGTAACATTTTCTCGCTCTGTTTCGACCAGATGAGCGGACTTAATATGCTTACTTCGAAAATGTTCATATATATTTAGAAGTAATTTCCTTGTGACTAACGATCTGTTGTCGGTTAATGAGCAAACAGGAAAAAGTTCGCTCTATTCTTGAAATCACTTAAATTGAATGAGTATTTCATAAAGAACTTTAAGAGTTCAATCAAAACTAAAGTGGACAAAGAATTTGAGGGACATTCGATTTTGATCGTAAACACAACTGGATAAAAATTTCCATCTTCAACTTCCCAACAAAGTTGTTTGTTTTGAGAGTATGGCATCAGTAAACGCTTTAATTTGTCTCCAACAAAAAAAATCGTTCATTTGAAACATTTACAGCAGAACACAATTACCTTCTTCTAGAGGACTCCTTTCAATAGAGTCTACTGATTCTTTTGACATGGATTGGAGATGCAATGCTTGAAGGATTAATCTTAGAGCTTTTTGATATGCGAAACCAATGATGTTATTTTTTTTTTAACCCTGTGCGGTTCTGCTCAGATAATCCTGCAATAATACTTTCAACAGTTAATCATCTTCTAGAATACCAAATACAGTTCAACTTTAAATAACTGGTGTGAAAAAGAGGATCCTTCCGTGAAAAATGGCTAGTTTTCGTGTGATTTTAATACGCGAAAATAAGTTTCTGCTTTTAGAAAATGTTTATACATTAGAGTTGATTTTAATTGCATAGTCAGATGCAAATTTATATTGCTTTATTCATCCTCAATATTACGCACCGACCGTTATTTAGAACGAAAAAGATCTTGATAACTTTCGTCGGATTGTACAAAGTTTGCTAATTTCGGGAAAATATTGACACTTGACTCGCATGCAAACAGTTTGTATTGAACGTGTTTGGTGTTGCATACTTTAACCACGTGCTCCTCTGCTGCGCACATTACTTATCTGTCTGGTAATCAGTCATTATAACCTATTGTAAAGAATGGAGAAAGTTAAAATAGTACAACACTAACACCATCTTTTAGATTAATATTCATTGTGGCCTTTATCTTTTTCAGAAACCATAACATTATCCCTTTCTCCAGTACCACGTCTTGAAGGAAGAAAATTCCATTGAAGGCATGTAGTCATCCAGTTTGCACACGTGACCTATGATGTCCCTTTGTTCAATCTAGAAACAAGAAATAGTTTTAATTGTCCGAGATTCGTTTTATTGCAATCTTAATTGTTGTATTATTGTAAATGTTCGTTTAGCTTTTACATTTAGGGGCTGGAATGCTAGTTGCAATAAGTCATGTTTCGTTGTTTACCTTACCCGCACGGAACTGGGTTTAGTTTGCATATTATGGTATAGGCCATGTGCTCTAATTTGTTATCAACGTTTAGTTTTCGTTTTTGTCACGTTACCATCTGGTTTACAAATTTTTGAAGCCAGATCTTACGATTAATTACGACCAAACTAAACCAGATCATCTAGTCAGAGCATTATTTCGAATCGGATCGTCGGATTGAGACAGAATAAATGCAGTTAAAGGTAAAGTCGAACATTTATTCTACATTTGCGCTTTCCATTTCAATCTAATGAAACACATAACATTTGGCCACGAGTAATACTTGGGACAAATTAAGGCAGCCTTAAGTACGACAAGATTACTAATGAACTGATATTCCCCAAATTGTGATCCTTGTTTTAATTCACAGGGGCTAATAAGTCTACTAGTTCTAAAACACTTTATTAGCTTTTACTTTACCAGCGATAAGAAAACCAACTAGCAGCCCACACTGATTAGCGTGCTGATGTTAAATTATGTACCAATCAATTTGAAGCCTCAACATTCCTTCTTTGGGAAACCCACACACATTTGATTGGTGTTGGTTCCCGGGGTCATGGGAGTGAGAGTTCTGGCTGGATGGGATGGGGAATTTGAAACAAAAGTGCCAAGTCTTTCTTGGGGAGTACATGTGTTTTATTTTTTAATATGGAGGTGTTTTAAGGGTAAAGAGTTCATGACTTAACCCTCTTACCCCTGAGAGTGACCAGCATCTGAATTCTTCCACAGAATCAAACATTAAGGTCTTAAGAATAATAGAATTGATTGCAAACTCAAACTCTTGATTTTCTAGACAATTTCTCCTTGTAAGTACCAACGGAAATGTATAGAGAACAGTTTGGAGAACTTGCCTACTGATGTTAGGATATAAATTCAAAGTGAGCGAATGGCTCAGAAGAAAAGGTCTATAAGGTCTTGGTTTAGCTTGAATAGTTAACTTGAATCAGATGTCGGTCAATGAGTAGAAAATCACAGTCAGTGATCTTTCCTTATATAAATACCTGACCATCGAATTTGCCACTAACAAAGGGAACTTGAACACAATTTTGGTCTTCAGGCGGGGAGGAATTTGAAGAAACTCCTGAAGTTTAAATGCCAAGGGAGTTTACTCCCAGGAGGTGACTGCTGAGCCATGAAATTGATTGAAA